CTCAGGCTTCCTGAGCAATCAACTCTGGGGCCTCAGGCCCTTGACCCCAGAGCCTGCAGGAGGTGCAGGCCCCAAGTGGTACCACCTGGAAGGCTCACTGCAGCTGCACCAGCCTGGGCTGGAGAATGCTCTGGGCTGCCTTGGTTGAGGACCGGTGCTCCCCCATTTCCACCTCTGGTATCTCTGGCAGACAGTGACACTGTGGAATCCTTCAAATTGTCACGGTGTGTTGTTGGAAGGGCAGTTTATGAGAGACAGACTTGCTAAGCTTAACAATATAAGACAAAAACATAAGGGAATAGATTGATTTTGACCAACATCTGCCCATTTTCCCTAAACCCCAGCCCCCGGTAACCACTATTCTACTCCCTACTTCTGTGACTTCGACTTTTTTAGACCCTGCATATATGAGAGATCAGACAGTATTTTTCATTCGGTGTCTGGCTTATTTCACTTAGCATAACATCCTCCAGGCTCATCCATGATTTTACAACCTAAAATTTAAAATCTTCATGTCAAAAAACTCCCCACTTTGAATAAAAATTAAAGGCCGGTAGTAAATGGAGAAAAAAAACCTTTCACCATACATGACAGAAGGTTAATATTCTCAACATATATAAAGCATTACAAACCAACAAGATGAACATATCAATAGAAACGTCAGAAAAAGATGTAAAGAAAAAAATCACAAAAGATGATAGACTCATGACTATTTAGCGTGGAACTCAAATCAACTTTATTAGTAATAAAAGAAAGTAGATTAATCGTATATGTTTTCTGTCTATCTAATTGGCAATGAATATAGTTAATTAGTTAACTAAAATCAATGACGTTGTGGGTTCGGGGAAAAGGGCATCTCTCACACTGCTGGGGAAAAGCTAAGCTGATATGAGGGTAACAATTTCATCCTAAGAATAAAAAGCTTAAACCTCTGCACAAAGTCTGTCTAGCAATCTTAGTGTCAGAAATTTTTATTAAAATCAAACCAAAAACAAATCTAGATTTTGGCAAAGATTTAGCTTTAGTTTTTATTATATTTGTTAAATCCTGTTGTTGTTTACAATAGATAAACACTGAAGATAGTTTATTGAACAAGAGAAGTTTAGATAATCAAGTTAAGGCACTCCCATGACGACTTAACAATATTGGATATAAATAACCTCAAAAAATGTTTTCAATATATGATCGAGGGAAGAAAGAAAGAAAATGTCACCATTACATGATCCCATTAAAAATGAAAATATTTTTATGTTTGTTAGAATAATGCGTAATTAAACTGCAATTCAAACAAACTGAAGTGGAAACAGTCACAGAGTAGAAAGTACAAGATCTTATTCCCAGCCCCCAGATTCCAATTCCCAGAGGTTACCACAAACCCATTGTTTATCATCCGTACCGCTTCTCCAGCCCTCTTCTATGTATGCATGGATACATGCTCACACACGCACTTGCTGTTATAGGATGACTTAGGATTATCTTGAGTATTTACAGGTAAACTACTTCAGTGATCCCTGGTCCTCCTTCATGTGTCAATTGAATTAAGCACTCTCTACATCAGGAATGAAAACAGGGAAAAACAGAGGCCCAGAGAAAACAATGAAAGGAGGGAGGGAAGGGGAGTGGAAGAAGAAATGGAAGGCAAGGCAAGTGAAGGAAAGCAGAGGGACCAGGACCTGCTTATTGAGGTGTTTTGGACAAGGATAATGAACACCTAGAGAGAGAAACATTCACCTGTCTCTGTTCTCCTGCCTCTGGTGCTCATGGAGTTCTGGATGTCCAGTGGCTTACACTGATCAATTTTTGAATGTTAAGCTCATCCTGGGATAACATTCCTGGATTATTTTTATAGGATGAGATCTCAAGGATGACAGTTTATGGCTGAGACTAAATGAGAAGACAATAAAGTGCATTACACCAAAACCCACACCTTTTCTTTCTCCGACATCTTGGTGTGAGTCTTCTGACCTCTGGAGACCAGAGAATCTGAATGTTAGTGAGCGGCAGAATCATCTGGAGAGAGTGATTGTGAAGATTCCTGGATACCATCCCCAGAGATTCTGATCTAGTACGTTTGGGGTGGATCTGAGATTCTGCATTTCTAAGAAGCTTACAAATGAAGTTAATATTGCTGCTATAGAAAATGACGCAAAACATTTCTTTTAAAAACATACTAGAGTAAGGAAGTTTCTTCTGTATACAGGTCTGTGCTTCTATGTGCTTAGAATTTCTCTGGAGGCAAACACAAGAAGCTGGTAGCAATGTTTGCCTCTGAGAAGAACTGGCATCTGGAGGAAATTAATATGAAATAGACTTACTTTTCACTCTGACCGAAATCTTATTTGAACTGGGTATGATATGTTAGTATTACCTAATCAAAACTGAATACAGTAAATATATATTCCCCCCAACCCCCACTTAAATATAAATGCACATGCCTTTTGATCCAGCAACTTCACCTTTAAGGATTTATCCCACAAATATATTTAAACATGTGCAAATGACAAGGTTATTCATTGCAACATTTTTTTTTTCATAGCAAGAGGTTATGAAAAGCTGAAAGTTCATTTGTACTGAACTGGTAAAATAAAGTATATATGTTTCTTGATGGAATAATATGCAATCATAAAAAATATTATAGGGTAATAATGGACTGATGTGGAACTACCTCTGTGACATCATATTAAATGGAAAGGTCTAGAAAGGAGTATATCTATTTGTTAATATTGTATAAATAGTAGGAAAGAAATACATTTACTTATTAGCTTACAGATATATAAAATATCCTGGAAGAATACAAAAGACTTGATATCACTGATTGCCTTTGAGATGGGAAATAGATGGCAGAGCATTGGGGTTAAAGAATTTTTAAGGTCTACTCTTCTGTACCTTTTGAATTTTGAATTATGTGATTATATTATCTAATAAATATTTTGCTAAAAATACTTGGAAATATTTTTCCACATCAGGGAAAACAGAACTATCTAATTTTTTAAATGGCTGAATGATATTACTTGTTGGATTTACCATATTTAACCAACTCTCTACTAATGGAAACGTAGAATGTTTCCAATTTTTCACTATTATAAATATCCTTGGATATATTTTTGTACACAAATGCAAGTATTCTTCAGCAATAAATTCTTATAATAATTATGATGTAAATATATATATATTTAATTTTGTTACAACTATTTAAAGATTTAGTTCATCTTTTTGCTATTTTTTTTTAAGATTTTATTTATATATCAGAGAAAGAGCGAGAGAGAGAGCATGCTTGCGCACGAGGTAGGGTGAGAAGCAGAGGCAGAGGGAGAAGCAGGCTCCCCCACTGAGCAAGGAGTGTGATGCGGGACTCCATCCCAAGACCCTGGGATCATGACCTGAGCCAAAGGCAGACATGTAACCGAATGTCAAGATGGTTATCTCTGGTTTTCACTGAGTGGCATTACAAGGGGAACTTTGTTTTCTTCTTAGGTTTAGTTCTATTTTCTGTGTAATAAGTATGTCTTAGATCACTTAGATTCAAGGTTTACACTAACCATGAGGAAATAATGAGATTGGGCTCTAAATGTATTTTGCATTTGTTCAAATGTCTAGGTATATTCATTTTTCTGCAGCATCTCTAAGATATTGTAATTTCCTTTGAAACCCGTTCTTTCTTCCCTCTCTCAATTTATTTTATTCCCTATCTCAATATGACATCACCTTGTTATTCAAAGCAAAAATCAACATTTTTTAAATGAAAAAACAAATGTACCTCTTCCTCCAAGAATCATTTCAGGGACAAAGGTGAGTATTAATAGGCTATATGCCACTTGGATTTAATCTTATTTTTTATCTTGTTTTATAGTATGGATATATTACATTTTAAAACATGTATTTGTTATTATGCTATAAATATCCCCTTCTGGATTACATGTGTGATATGGTAGTTACTTCTGTATAAATAATTTCATTCTTTTGCTGGTGAATATGGTGTATACCTCTCAAGCAATGTTTTCTTATTTCTGCTTAAAATCGAACTGAGTCTCAAAGAGAAGAATACAAGTATTCTAATTTATTGAAATCAGTAGTCAGAAAAAATATTTGCCTGGTTTATTTTATCTTTGATTTAAATATTACTAAATGAAACACACACACACCTGACATAATGTGTATTTTCTGATACTCTCTAAAGATAAGATACCTGTATAAATTTCAGTCATTTGTTTTTATCAAGTTTTGTCATTCGCAATGACATTTTGGATTTAAGTGCACATAAAAAATATGCCAAATATGAAACAATTCTATGCCACTCTAAAATTTCATTGTTTGTATATCAAAATGCTTTTACCTTTCTCTTACCAAACACGAATTCTTAAAGCCTCAAGTCCTACTGTATTTGTATGTTGCTTTGCAATGTAATTTTGTAAGTTTTACTTTATTTTCTTGCCAGGCTCTCACTGAAGGCTCGTTGAATGCTGGCACCAGTCTATGGAATCAGGCTTTGTAAGATGAAGGTCAGGATAACTGAGAGATTGTACCAGTTTTCTAAGAGCCTGGGTAGTGAATTCAAACAACTAAATATAGGACTGGAATGAATCTTTTATTCCCTAAAACAATCCACAATTGAGACGATTGGCACTGGATGGATTTCCATAGAAATTCGCAAAGAAAACTTGACTTTGAACCCATCTGAGCCCATCTGAGACACAAAGCCCACTGATGACTTTGAAATGCTATCACATCACTTGGAATGGATGCACCAAAATGCAAGTTTTAAGATAAATCCTTTTTTGCAAAATTTTCCATCATTTCTCATTTTACAGCAAACATGCTCTAAAAGAAATTTTCTAGATTTTAGCTGAAATCCAAAGACCTTTACTAATCCTTCTGAAGTAATCATTCTGCAACAATTCCCTAACAGTCACAAACTTTCATAAGGAGCTGGGATTACAAAGAGGAGTCACAGAAGAAAGAAGCTGTACTCTCGAAGAAATGAATTACTATAGACATAAACTCTAATGGCTTTTAAAGTGGGACTCCAAAATCATTGCATGACTTATCAAGTCAGAATTTAGAGTTACTCTTCTACTAGGAATACTCTCTGAAATAAAACTGCTTTCCTTTACTTTTCTATAGCAGGAAGAAGAACAGACAAGAAACAAAACAGGAAGGTGTGTTGCTCCAAAAATGTCACAGGACTGGATGACTCGAAAACCTTCACCAAACTTGGGACCTTGACACCATTCACATCTAGATGCGCTGCAATGGAAGACACATCAAGTCAATATTTAGGAAATCTCTACCGAAGAAAAGACATTGTGCTTGATGCTATGTGTGACTCACAGTAGTATAAAATACGGCCTTTGTCATTATTGATCTTACCATCTAATTGAGCTAAAACATACACAATTAAAAATTAAATGCTAAAAAATAAAGTAGATAAATGTATATACAGCAATTCTAGTTTTCAAAAACAAAAAAGTATAAATGCATAGCAAGAAACACTCTAAGGATAGATTCCAAGTAGAAAATAGTAATTATTCTTGGTCAATGTGATCACAAGAAATTTTATATACCTTTATAATCTTTTTCTGTATTTTCCAAATTTTCTATAATAAATATGCATTATTTTTATAATTCAAAATAAATATATTATTTTTAAAAATAAAGGGACTATATTGTAGCCTCGTAGAGGATTAGTGTCTGTATATATTTTTAAATGCTCCCAAATCAGTTAAAAAAAAAAAAAAGACATCAACCCCTTAGTGTATTGACATTAGCACATGCACGGACTATTCACAGAAGAAGAAACTTGAATGTCTAGAAAACATTGAGAAGTGGAGCTTCTCAATCTTATTAGTAATCAGAGAAGCCAGATACCATTTCATAATCATCAATGGGCAAAATGGAAAAGTTTGACAGTAAGAAGTTTGGTGAGGATGAGAACCACCAGGGAAACTCATACTTTCTTGGTGGTGTAGAAATTGGTATAATTTACCAGTTTTAGATTTAAAAAATAAAAATGTAATGTAAAAAATGTATACATGTTAAATTCTATGTATAAAATCTCAAAAGAGAGATTTAGCAAAATGTCTTGGGCACCTTTCTATTGCAATACATTTTGTTTCGCTTCATATTAATAGCATCATAATATTCCACAATATGGATACACCATAATATATTTTACCACTTTTTAATTGATGCACATTGAGGCTGCAGTTATCATCCCTATACCTAACTTTGTGTTCACTTGTAACTATTTCCATGAGACAGATTCTGAAGATTTACATTTCTATTTGAAGGGGTAAATAGGATACTGTCCAATTGCCTTCCACAAAGCTTTCACCAATTTATAGCAACTACTACTATTATCATATAGTATATGATAATCCAGTTTTGGGGTCCAATGACAGCATTTAATGTCAATCTTTTTAATCTTAATAAAGCAGGTAAACAAAAAATCTGTTGCTATTTGATATCACAGTTCCTTGATTACTAGTCAGATTTAACACACTTCATGTTTATCAGCGATCTCTGTGTCCTCATCCATGAATTGCATATTCCTAACATTTATACACTTTTTATTGGTTATATCTTTTCTTTGATTTGAAGGAGACATACATATATATGTCAACAGCTATACCCATTGCAATATCTTCTTAATGGCTTGTCTCTTAATTTCGTTGAGAGTGTCATATTACATGGAATGATTCTACTTTTGTCAAATTTATGAAACTTGGCTCTACTGTTTATATATATATTTTAAAGATTTTATTTATTTATTTATTTATTTATTTATTTATTTATTTTTAAAGATTTTTTTTTTTTTTTTGACAGAGAGAGAGACAGTGAGAGAGGGAACACAAGCAGGGGGAGTGGGAGAGGGAGAAGCAGGCTTCCCGCCGAGCAGGGAGCCCGAT